TCTTTCATCACTGAAATTCTTCTTTCATTCGGCTTCAGGACGGCACTGTCATTGTTGATTTCCTGTATCTTCTAGTCTCTGGCATCAGACTCCCAGTTTGGACCTGCAGACACTTTCTAGGTTATCTCATTTAATTCCTGGGTTTATAGCTCAGCTTCATGACAATAGATGATACCAAACTTAGTAATTCCAGCTCTCTAGGTCAGTTGCTTCTCTGATTTCTAAACTCAGATAAACATAAATATCAGCCTTCTCAGCATCACTATTAGATGTTTAACAGACATCAAAACAAAATTACAGTCTTGACTCCATCCACAAAATAAAATGTTAGGGTCATTTCTGACTCATTTCTGTCTTTCACACTTGGTTATTTTTCGTTTACAGTAAGGATTGAACCCAGGACCTTTGCGCTGACCTACATCCCCAGCCATTTAAAAAATGTGTCTTTAATTTTGAGGCAGGATCTCACTAAGTTACTAAATTGCCAAGGTAGGTTTGAACTTGTCATCCTCCTGCCTCAGCCTCCCAGAATGTTAGGATGACAGGAATGTTCAGGAATGTCCAGCTTGGTAAATGTTGCTTTTGCTCCTCTGCAGCATACTATTCCCCTCCCACCTCAGGGCTCCTGCAAGCACTGCGCTTTCAGAATGGCCTTGCCCTTGGATACTTTTGTTACCCTTCATCTTATTCCTTTCTGCTTCTGCTCCTGTAACTTTCCATTCCAAGGACCTGACCTATCTAAATTACAGCTCACCACCATTTTCTCCTTACCACCTATATGCCTTTATTCTTCTTCATGGTGCTCAACTTCCCCATCACATTCCCTACTTACTGTCTATTTTCTGTCTTCAGTTCAGAAAGCAGGACCCATGAGAAGAAGTAGATGGTCTTTTCTCCCATATCCATAGATCTAGAAAATTGAGTGGCACATACTAGACATCCAGTAAATGTTAACTGACTAAATGTCTGAGTTCTCTGTAGCTTCTAAAGGCCATTGTTGACTGTATCCTTTTTGAGATCTTTTTGATTGCTTTTACTTCCTGCTACTCTCAGGCTCCTTTTTTTTCCCTGGAATTTTCCCAGGGTGAGACCTTAGCATTCCCTTCTCATTCAGCACACTCTTCCTTGATTTCTGTCTAAACACTCTGGACTGTGACTGGCACCTTCCCAAATCCAGATGACTGATAGGTATATTTGTCCCCATTCCTGACTTTCCTGTGGATCCAGTCGTGTCTGCCCAGCTTGCCCCTGATTTCCTTTCTTGGATATTTTCAGGGAAGCCTGCAGGAGCTCCCTGGACAACTGCCTGAGGACCGGTTCTCAAACTTATGCCTGTTTGCTGCCTTCGTCTTAGGCAGACTCGGACCTGTTCTCCTAATAATGATTAAAAACAACTATTCTTTGCCAAGCACTGTATGTAATTGCAGTATATGTAACCTTCCCACTCTGTATTGGCTCTGTTTTATTGACAAAAAAACTCAGGTTCAGAAATTCTAAGTAACTGACTCAAAGTTGCAAGGCTTCTAATGTCTCCTGCTGGTGCCTGGAATAGGATTCTGATCCTCTTCTGAGGTGATAAATGCAATCCCATCTTCATCATTAGAAAAATATTCCCAAACAAGTTTAACAACCTAAGTAACAGCGTAAGTTCCTCTGTGTTTCCAGGGCCTATTTGCCTCTCAGGGGAACAGCCTGTCCAACTCAGGGGAACTTGGTCTGTCCAAGACAGGTCAGAAAAATGTTACCTTTGAGCATTATCCTCTCTGTGTCCTGCAGAGAATTCAGTTTAGCTTGCCCCAAATTTACTTTTTAATTATTTCCTTATGAATCACCTAAAAATCATTACAAACATCTTTTTTCCTGTTTCTTTCCTCTAAAACATATTGTAGAATATTTCTCAATAATGGCTTATTAAATGTACACCTATCTGCCTAACACTGCATGTTTAAAAATGGATGTGATTTTACAAAGTAGAACTATTTGCAAGGGCCCCAGAACTATTTTAGAAAGGATTTTCTTGCTCTTTTTCAGTCCTCAAAATGGCCTGTCCATCCCCATTGCTGGTGTGGCCAGTAAGTCTATTCAACTCGATGGTTTCCTCTGCAGGACTTTTTCCTGACCTCCTTTGACAGCCATCTTGGAGCTCCCATGATATATATCTGGGCAGCTTTGTTTGTATTTGTGGCTTACCTTGTTAATATATCACACAGTATGATAATTGGGGTGAAAAGAAGCACAGGTTTTCCAGAATTTCTGAAGTCAAAGACCCCATAAATATCATGATTTTTAACTCTTACAGAGTAAACAACCAAGATTTTTGTTTCATTATTTTCACAGTTGATTTTGCATACTCCTCAGTTTCATTTATTTTATACTTTTCCTCTTGAAAGCTGGGGTAGCAGGTACACATTTTCAAAATACATAGAATCTATGCCATCTTGAAGCAAAGACCATAAGATATGCATTTCTTGATCCTTTTGCTAGTTCTGTGCTTATACAGTAGGTGATAACTAATGATGAAAGAAGAAAATAAAATCCATCATTTCCTGAATCACACTGCTCAATATTTTTAGCATTATTTAAAATCACAATGCATTAGATGAACATATTTTCAAAACCAAAAATCAAAACATTTGACCTGATGACCTTGTGTATTCTTGTAGGTATTTAGGGAACACAGATTCAATTGTTATACATAAAATCAGGAATGTTTCATATGGTCACCCTATGTGTAATATGGAGAGTATAGAGAATAAGAGTGTGAACTCCTTTCCATTCACAGCAAATATTTTTTTGATGGTTAATAGGAACTAGGTATAATTTCAAATTTGGCACTCTTCCTACACACAGAGAGAAACAAGCAAGAGCCAGAGGTTAATACGAGTGGATTTGACACATGCATTTTGCTTCACCTCGAAGAGAACAGTAGGCTTTAGGCTCCCATTTCTTCCGGTGGATTAAATCAGGTGTAGCACATGCAGGCTCTCACGCAGTGGCAGCTGCTGAGTCTATCCACAAAATTGCTGCGCCAGCAGCAATTTCCCCATGACTCTCCTATTTAATTGAATGAGAACCAGCAGGTGACTGGTGCCATGACAGGGGAATCACAGACACACTCTGAGACTGTCACCATGTGATGGAGCTAATATACAGGCTCTTAGTGGAGTGCTGGATTCTGCTCAGGGGTAGGGCACACAGGGCTTTTGCTCTTAATTTTTTAATGTGCTATGGAGCTGTGACTTTGAAGGCAATATTTTTAATGTAGTATGCACTTAATGGAGAGTAATGATGTTTTGTGCCATTTCTTTTATAAAATAAGTATGTATACCATAACTCACTATTACCAAGAAAGTGTCCACATATTAACATTTTATTTTTTTGTCCTAATATTAATAAAAAACACTGATAAGTAAGTGAGATGGAGATCAAGGAATAGTTTCCCCAGCCAAAATATCATTTAGTTATTCTGTTCTTAGAAAATCTTTGCATAGGATGTCTTGGGTTGCCATAAGATGGTTAGAACCATAGAGAATGAAGGAAGCAGACTGTACAAAATGGTAATAAGCTCTAAGTAGGAAAGGGTGGGCGTCACTGTGAACGTTCCTCTAGGTCTACAGTGTCAAAGGAGCACTGCATTTCACCAGACTTGGGTTTTAAGGGGAGCAAAGACAGAGCTAATTATTCTGGACAAGATTTGCTCAGTTCCACTGAAGGGTGATGGGCATTTAAAAGAAACACATTTCAATTTGTAACTCAGTGAATCTGTTTTTATCCCAAATACACATTCAGTGACTAGGAAATCAACTCAGATCTAACTAGGGAAAAAATTTAGAAAGAACACGCATTCAAATCATACAAAGTCATAGAAACAGATCACCAGATGATTACATAGATAGATGATAGATAGCTAGATAGCTAGATAGCTAGATAAAATTTATATTAAGATTTTTTTCATACCGCTTACTCAAAACACATTTATCTAATCCAAATTCTGTGCAATAGAACATAGTTAACCAAAGTTACAAATGAAAATTTGAGACACTGTTATAGAAAATAACCATATTAAATGAACAAAAAAGAAAGGCATTTCACTGAAATTGAAAGATAATAGTCAAGGAAAAGGAATTTTAATACAGTTCAGTTTTTTAAACTTTCGCTTATCACAAAGAGCTAGTACTTAAGCCCCTGAAGATGGAGTGTAGTACGGGTGAAGCAGCAATTATTTGTCTGTAACTCCAAAAGCTTATTTATTCTGGTTGTCAAAAAACTCATGTGCTTGGTTAATGATCCCTACAGTATTGTATTTGTCCAAAACTTTCATCTACCTTGTCTGCTGGCTTAAGGTTTACACCTTTGCTCTTAATAAAAGAAAAATGGCTACTTAAGTAAATCTCCTAACCATTAAAAACAGTTGGTTTTACAGCCACTTGCCAGTCCCCCTCCAAGAAAGCTACTACCAGAAAAAAAAAAAAAAATCCTACTTTGATGTATTGTGGGCTTAATCAGACATTCTAGAGTAACAAATGGTAAGAAAAAAAAATTCTAATAAAATGTTTTAAAAAAATTGTAAGTCCGTTTGATAGAGTCTGAGTCGCATGTTTGTAGTGATGTTGGAGACCTGCCAGTGGGAAATAGGATCCAGTTGGTGTGGACTGAAGGATTCCTGGCAGCAAATCAGGACAGAAAATCTGACCAAATAACATCTTTTTGAGTAAGTGACAGCTAAAATCTGTTCTCTGGCTGTTACTGCTGTGAATAAATGGGCAGATATTTTATTTAAACATGGAAGTGTGAAAGAAAGTTGTCATTTTCATGTTCTAGAGAATCCAACAGAAAAAATAGAAAATTTAATTATCTGTTGTGTTTTTAATGAAGTTGATATTCTAGAAAAAAATTACTTAAACAATGGAAAAGTCATCCATGTTTTAAAAAGTCAAGTTTGGCATTCCATATATATTAAAAAGAAATATTGCTCCTTTTATGTCACTGTTAATTTTTAGGAAAAGGGAAACGATTGAAGCAAGCTAAGGAAGAAGCAATGGCAGAAATTGACCAGTACAGAATGGAGAGAGATAAGGAGTTTCAGCTGAGACAATCTAAGGTGAGAAAGCACTGATTTTTATGAAACATATATTATAAGACATTAATATTCATTTGATGTAAGGTAAAATATTGGGAGAAATATACTGTGATTAAGCAGATATTTTTCAATCAAAGTTGAATATCAAATTAAATCTTTTTCTTTTTTTTTGTCTTTTTGAGACAGTGTCTCCCTATGCAGTTCAGGCTGGCCTTGAGTTCACTTTGTAGCCCAGGCTGGTCTTGAACTCTCAGTGATCCTCCTGCCTCAGCCTCCTGAGTTGAGGGGATTACAGGCCTGCACCACCACACCCGGCTTCAAATTAAATCTTAAAAATAACAGAATTACCAATAAATTTCACATTCAAAGCACTTTTAATTTGTCCTATATGGGGCCGGGATATAGGTCAGTGGCACAGCAACTGCCTGGCAAGCGCAAGGTCATGAATTTGATTCCTGGTACAAAAAAGAATTTTTTTTTTTTGTCCAATAAAGAGTCAATTAATACTAGTAACTAATATATAGTATGATTAAAAATCATATTCTCAAATATCTAAATTGAAGAGATTGAGCAAAGCATCATTCCTTCTAGAAATTATCGACTGACACATTTTCATAAGAAAAAAAACTTCAGAAAATGTAGTTTTTGTTTTTCAGTGTTTACTAGAAGAAGCAATAAAAATATTCATGCTAAGTTACAGAATGAGTTGGTCAGACTAAGTTTCCTTCGTCGTTGCTAGATGTACAAATTATCAAAGTAGATACTGTTGTAAGTTGCTGAAAAGCCACACTGTAGTATTTCCTTTGCAATTTGGTGGCTTCACTAAATAAATCTATCATTAAAATGCAAAACTTTGTCCAGCACTACCATTTTCTAAATATCTTCAGTTCACAGTTAAAAAACATAAGTGCATAAAAATTTTAAAGACACCTTCCTTCCTGTGAAACAACATGGATTAACAGATAGAAAGCCCCGGGGCTGGGGATTTAGCTCAGCGGCACAGCGCCTGCCTGGCAAGCGCGAGGTCGTGAATTCGATTCCTGGGACCAAAAAAAAAAACCCAGATAGAAAGCACCTCTATGTGCCATCACTAAAGCTCACATGATAATCTCTTCTTACCTCAGTAAGAATATAAATAAGATTCTGTTCAGAAGGTTGATATTTCAAAATGAACTACAAGTTTTGAAAATCTTTCCATTTGCAATTTTTATCTTACCAATATAGATACATAGGAGCCCAAATAGGTTCGATTAACTAACTTGAACCCACTGTAGAAAAAGAAAGTTTTAATGAGTTATTTTTCACTGAAAAGCCCTTCTTCAAATACAGTGAACCTCTCAGCAAAAATGAATTCATTCTACCAATATTTGGAAAAAATCTAAAATCCTGGTCCTACATGTGTACCCAACCCTCTGTGGCTGGCCTTTAGCATACTTGTGACCACATTTTACGCCTTGGTTTTTATTTGTTCTACCCTGGCTATGTCGGTTTTCCTCTAATTCCTCAGACAAATGGGACATACCGCTACTTTGGAGCCTTTGCATATACCATTCTCATCCCTATAATTCTTTTTTTTGACACATTTGTCTTTTTTCATCTGGATGCATTTGTTCATCTGTTCTAATTACCTTATCTAAAACATCCTTACCTTCCAACTGAAGTAATACCCCATTATAATCCATTATTTTCTTTATAGCATTGTTCACTATCTGATAGACTACTTATTTACTTTTTTTTAAAATTTATTTCCTATCTTTCCTTTAGGACTATAAGCACCAAAACAGTAGATTCTTTGTTTTGTTCTCTGTAGTTTTGCTAGACTTTAAACGGTGTCTTCTCCATAAGAGTCATGCAATATATAGTTGTTGAAATAATGACTAACCAAACATTTCCTCTGTGGCTTTATCCTTCCTATTGAATTTTGTCAAAACTATGACAGTGGAACCTGAGAGAATAATCATCATTACTCACAACCAGCTTTGACCATCATGTAGAATATTTAAGATTTGATACTTATTTCTACTTTAAACATCAGAATAAAACTAACCATAATTTCAGAGTGGTTGGGCAAAGCCTCTGGAAATGCTATTTCTCCAGAAAAATCCTATCAGATAGAAATCTGGTTCAAGATTTGTTTTATGCTTTAAAAAAACAATTAAAATTCCTCATCACTCTCATAATTAGAGCTCCAAGCCAATTTTACAGCTAGTTGATCAAAAGCTCACATAGAAGAGCCATCGTGTTGAAGCCTCTGCTACTTCAAGCATATTGTAACACCATTAGTGCAGATCCTCTTTCCTTGGCATGACCTCCATATGTCAGGCATATTGCTATGCCCATTAAATCTAGTCATCATTAACCCAGGGCAATTAGGAAGTCTGGGAGGAGACCCAAGAAACCAGCTTTCTCCCTGCTGTGGGTACTGCACCCTGATGTTTCTTTTTATATTGCTGGTTTTTAGCTCTTGTTAGTATATATGAATTTTCAAGTCCCCTGACTTAACAACACAAGCCAGAATTCTAGTGTAAGTTATTAAGTAATATTATTTCAAAGATTTACTTATCCCCTTCTTATCATTGCTACCCAGTATAATAACTTTGACTGTAAGGTATTATGTTGTTTAAAAATATGGACCATAGAAAATTAAATCTATTGTTAATACCAACAAAAGTTACATGGACCATGAGTTTAAGTAAAAGGCCTAATAAAGGGCTTCCTTGGGTACACTGAGAAGTCTTGTATGTTTTTTCTTTCTGAATGTATATCACAAAAGCATTTTATTTTCTTGGAACAATAAAAATTTGAGAGGTCAAGACTGTTTACAGCTGTGGGACTTAAAACTCTTAAACAGGAACATTTAATCAGCTTATAAGGAAAGTTGTTGAATCAAAGATGTTACCATCACTATCGGCCAATAGGTTGAAAGGCAACACCAGTTAACATGAAGTCTTTAACTGGCATCTTTTGACCAAATAGACCATGACATGTTACAAAATTACCAGTTTCCATTGTATACGTTTCCCAAATGTTCAGGTAACAGGCTTCTGCCAAATAACATGAGTAACAGAACACACATGGTGAGTTCTCTGTGACGTCTGGAGAGCTGGTTATCATATTCACTACAACAAATATGTATTCAGCATAGGGGATATGTTCCCAACGAGTTGTCTTTTAACTTTTTACCACTTCAGACATTACGTATAAGAGTAAATTTTTTTGCAGTTGGGTAAAATCTCATGTAAGGTTGAACTTAGAAGGGAAATGTTTAATTTAATAGAATTATTTTGATAAGTGGTTCTGTGTTAAACTTTTTAATAAGGTTTGTGTCTGCTATATGTATTAGCATTACTAATTACTAAATGTATTAGCATTACTAATTGCTATTTGTATTAGCATTACTAATTACTAACATTACTAAAATGTTTTTTAGAAGATATTTGGTGTCTTTGAAACACTATATCCTCAACATTATTTGAATCCAGATGCCCCACTGTTTGAACTATAATCAGAAAAGAACTTAACTTCAATATCCTCAGTTGCATTTGGGCTCAAGCTTAAGACCCAGAAGGATTACATGGATTCTAGAAGTTAAAATAGTCTAACAATTCCATAGAAAAATTCAGTCGTCAGTGGCGTTTCTTGGATTACACTAAGTGCATATTGTCTTTATGCACAGAATTAAAATAAACAAAAACACAGCTGCATTGCCTTAACAAAGTCATATGTAAGAAAGACTGAGTTTACAAAGAAGATAAAGTAGGAGTTGATTGTTTTAAAACAATCTGACTTTCATTCCTTTCAATTGTTAATTTTCCTACTGATATTATATTTTAGTCTAGTTATGACGACAAAGAACTAAGAGGATAGAAGAGGTTAGGGAAATAATTAAGAATCACTGCCAGTTAAAGAGCACTCAGAAAGATATATTTAACTGTCTAAATTTGTAGTGTAACTAAATGAACAGGTATATCTCAATTGGAAAGAAATTCAAATCATACTAAAACCCTCAAGATTATGTATGTTATCCAAACATATACACATATATGTATATGTACTGCACACATACATATATAATATATATACACACACACTATATACTTTACTGTTCATATTACTGCACACATACATGTATTATATATATATATATATACACACACACTATATATACTTTACTGTTCATATAAAAGTATCTTAGACAGTATTTTGTAGGTACAACCACGAATCAGTAGGCTAAAGTGTATAAAACAAAACTTTTATTGTGATGCATGGTATAATAAATTCCATCCTTTGTTTTGGCAGATAATGGGCTCTCAGAGTAATATCTCAGAGGAAGTAGAAGAACAAACACTGCAGAAGATACAAGAGATGAGTAGAAGCTACAACAAGTATATGGAAAGTGTGCTTAAACAGCTTTTGAGCATGGTATGTGATATGAAACCAGAAATCCACATAAACTACAGAGTCACCAATTAAACATACATCATACTATGTGATAATTGTGTAGGTGCCTCCTGCTTGCTCGTAGCTTTATTTTTGCACTAAGGAATTTAAATGTTAATCTTTTTTGGATATATACAAACTGCAATGTGACATAATTCACATGTAGGCACTGAATTAAACATAAATAAATAAAACTGTTGCTTCATCATTCCTAATATTAGTTATGACTTCATCATCTAACTTGGAGAAAGACAAGAATACACAATAATACATTTTTTGATACATGAAAAGAAAATTATTTTGATAGCCTTTTTATGTTTTTTCTTCATTTCTTCTTCAATTTAGAAAATGTGTTCGTAGGTGTGGTTGTTTAAAGATAATTTTAAGCTGGGGATATAGGTCAGTGGCACAAGCACCTGCCTGGCAAGGACAAGATCCTGAGTTTGATTCCTGGTACCAAAAAAAAAAAAAAAATGATTTTAAACGAAATAATTTTAACTCATCTAAAATGACTGTGTCAAGGATTTTATTGATCTTTAATCAATGAGAAAACTATAAGACATCATTGTTAATTCAAAAAGCAATTCTAAAAGTGTGTATAGAAAAAGAGACAGAGAATTAATGGGTTATATAATCATGGTAAGAGAAATGGGTTCCATAACTACTTTATGCACTACTTCAACTGTCAAGAGATTATTTTTTCAAGTATATTTTAAAGCAAAATAATAAAAGATGAGCTGATAGCATAGATGGCATGGTTTTTGTTGTTTGTAAAGAAGTAAGTTCCCAGGTGTGAGTTTGTATACCTCAGTCTCTCAGAAATGATTAAGCTGACTTCTTTAGTACTTTGTTAGTTACATGTATGAATCATCTCAGACCTGTTGTGGAAGCAGCAGTCCTGCTGCATGAATGCAAAGCCTGAGGAATTTGCTTTCAGTTGCTTAGCATCAGGGCCTGTACAGATTTTCACCAGGCAGTGACTCCAACATTAGTTTCTCATAAAAGTGCCTTCCTTAAATGTTTCTGTGTGTATACAGTATGTACTAAGAATCATGACTACAAAAGGTCTTTGATTTTCAAATAATACGTGTATGTGCAAAGAAATTTAAATTCCAGTCCAAACAAAAGTTATTTCATAAATTTTACCATTTTATCACAAAATTTAACATCTCAAGATGATTTTATATTCACATTAGATAAATGAAAGAAAATTACAATTCCATTTGTTTTCCTATTTTCAAAACTTTTGGTACAAAGAAAACCAATCAAGTTAGTTTTACATGTTTTGGTGGTATATTTCTCCATTACTTTAAAAAAAAAAAAAACCCGATTTTTCAGTTAATGAAGAGAAAGGTATCAGATATTCTTAGGAAAACTTTCCCTCATATTTTTTCTTCTGAGGAAGAGTGTAGGCATCACAGCTGTCTCCCCAGTATGGACAGTCATGGACGATTTCCACTTCAACACAGATTTGGAGAATTCAATAACTCTATCCTACAGAGCTGAGATATACACAACAATGAGTACAATTGCCGATTTAAAAAGTTTTTGTATGAAAAGATAATTCTGATACCACAGCCCTGTGATGTCCCTTACAACATAAGATTTAGTTTTGTATCTTAGTTCATGAAAACTAAAACGTATATTTTCTGAATGTGAAAGTTAGAATATATAGTGTGGAACACCCAAAGTAAATAAATTCCAGCTAAGGTCAATTAAGTTCCTTATCTACTTTGGGTTTTCCAGACTATACAGGACATAGAATCCCTTTTAGGATCTAAACAGTTCAGACACACATTAAAGTTGGTGTATAACATTTTCTCGGCACTACAGTAGAGCCACCCACAGAAGAAGGGATGAAACTGTGCACTGGGGACCACTAGTAAATTGCCCAGCCTCCCTGGACCTCTAATTCTTGTTAGTGTTTTCTTCTGCCAAATAGTGTTGAGCTAAACAATCTCTATGGGCATTTTAAGATTTAATTGTACATACTAAATTAGATCAGTTTCAAAGAGTAGTATTCACTATTTACAACCTTTTTATTCACTATTGTAATATTTTTAAATTTTTCAGTGACCCCATTTTTATTCTAAATACCCTATCGGAAAGAGCATTGGCTATCCTTAGTACCCTGGTCTCTATGTAGCTCATATTTTTGAGTTCAAATATGGTTTCACATCTTGGAGTAACTGAATGAGTCATTTTCCCAGAACTCTCACATCTCACAGATGGTAAAGCTGCCAAGTTTTACCTCATTTACATATGAAAAGGTTTCATATGTTTCAGAGATAACTCATTTATCTATGAGAGCTTTCTCAGTCACACCAAAAAGCTAACTTTTTTTGTACATGTACTTATCCTAAACTGTTTTTAATTCTTGCCTACCTTTGTTTTGATCCTTTGTACTATCAGAAACTACAAAACAGAAATTAATTCCATTAGGTTCTTACTCATTTCCTGAAAATAAAATTATACAATGAACAGAAGGGATAAAAGGATTACACTTTTTTTCTCTATTTACACACACACATAAAACAAAGACTTGCCATCAATGCATTGCCATTAATTTCTAGATGGGCAAAGATAACAGGGCAGTGCTGGCCAGCTAAGGTCAGCCTAGAACTACCCACACTCCTCACAAAAGAGCCCACCCTAGGTCAGAAAGCCACATTGCCTACAACCAACCAAAAAAACATGGATGAGCAAAGAGAAAACAGTATTATCTGCACAGATCCATAAACTCAGGAGAAATAATAAGTTGCTATTTTGAGCCACTGAGTTTTAGGGTGATGCATTCTGAAATCGTAGCTAATGCATCTATTAAAAAGAAATACTGCTTTAAAAGGGAGAGGCTGATAAACTATCCTGACTGCTGCTAAGAGCTGAAGTACAATAGGACGGAGCTGTGCCTGTCAGCGTCACACATGATCAAGGAGAGCATGTGGGGTAGTAAAGAGCAACAAGTAAGACTGTAAAAACCATCAGAGAAATGGTGCAGCAGCTTGAGGAAGATGTATGTTGGGCTTTTCTTTATTTGGAATGGGAAATGTTAGAGCATATTCATATGCAGATCAAAATTCCCCTAAAGGAGAGAAATTGATATGGAGAATAAAAAATTGCAGAAGCAAAGTCCTTGAAAAGAGCAAGTAGCATAGATCACAGGCAGAAGAGTTCACCTTAGATGCAATCAGGGATGTTTATACTAACAAAAAAGACCCTAGCAAGCCTGGGCTGACATTGGAGAGGATCAGTGGGCTCACTGGTAGGAGGAGGAAATGTTCATGTCTAAGTACCTTTGTTTTCAAATTAAGTATGAGAGAAACGATCACCTGGCAAAGAATAAAAGCTCTGAGAAACTCACCAAGACAAAAGAAAGAGCAAAATAGTCATTTTAGGAAGTAAGAGGGTACTGTAGATAAGCAGGCCAAGTTGGGAGGCAGCATTGAATATGTAAATGGGACATTCTGCCATGCGTTTAAGATGAGATGAATACAGTTGCTTTTTTCTCTGGCGATGATGAGCTGCTCTGGGCAAAGAGGAAGCAGATTTCTCCTTCCACCACTAGAATCCTCCACAAAAACTTAAGATCGTCTCTCTTGCCCTTTGTCTTTCAGCTCTAAGGTTGAACTAAAATAACTCTTCTTCAAAAGACTATAAATGGTCTTAAATTTAAAGAAAATAATTAATTTCTATAATTTTCCATTTCTGTAAAGGGCTAAACAGAAAGAAATACAAGTACAGAGATCATTACAATTTGATGATTCTGTTTTTCAGCCCTAGGTACAATAACTACTGTTAATTCTCCATGATGTTAAGTTTCCTGTTGTCCTATCCTCACTCTATTGGCCTAATCCAGGCATCGCAAGGGGTTGCTGGTTTGATGGGCTCTTTTCTTCAGAAAGTGACCAGAAAGGGGGTTATGAGATGAGGAATGACAGAAAATCAATGTAATTTAATTCTGTAGCTAGCTTAACCAAAGCATCATAAAATTATCTCAATTTAAAGTGAACCCTAAACTCTTTCTTCATCATCAAATAAGTAGAATCCAACAGAACAGAAGTTTAACCAAACCTATTTTATCATATCTAACACTTGCATTGAAAAGCGTTACAACTGTCAACTTGTTACCATTTTTATTAATGTGTAATCAATTAATAAGCACATATGTGTTTCACAGACAGACCCAAAAGATATTTAAATAGAGATTCCAGTGAACATGAGAACCTTGCCAACATTCTTAAGACCTGTTTCCTAGTGGAATTCACAGTTTGTTGTCACAGATCAGAAAGATGCTTTCCTAAGCACAAATGTAAATATGTCCAAACACCCCAAATAAAACCGCCAGCACCGAATCTTATGTACATTTATGTCTGCTCAAGAAGCACGAAGCTTTGCATGGTGATAATGCCAGAATCAGCAAGGTTTAAAAAAGCTGTGATTTTGTTATTGAAACTTACACAGACCACTGCCTTTAGAAAGATTTGCAAAATTCTATGTGAATGAAGATAAACTAACACAAAACTACCCACCCTAGCCAGAAAATGAGTACGTCTCAAACAACCTGGCCAATGACATCCTCATTTACTCAAACCCTCCCCGGTGGCAAGAAAGTCCATACAGGAGTGTTAGCAGCAACATTAGTAAATGAAGAGATAATATTAAAGCCAGTTAGTATAATCATATGCTAACTCCTTCCCATAGAATATTTTTCTTCCTTCCCTTCTGAAAAGCTTTACTCATCCTTCAGGTTTTGCCTTAATTTGTGAAATTTCATCTCATTCCCTAGGGAAGGTGGCCTTTAGCTCCTGGCTGATTTTGCAGCTCCTTCATGGTGCTGAGCATGTTGTGTGACTTTTAATCCTATGTGTCCCGCCTCCCCATCAGCCCCCAGCCTGTGATTTTCCTAAGGGCAGAAGCTGTCTTCTGCTCATCTGTATCTCCTAAGACCTGACTCAATCTTTAGTGTATTATATGGGTTAATGATTAATTAACAAATTTAGTGTTTTATAATAGGCAATATTGTAATGGATATGAAAATAGCTTCTCATGCACATACTAACAGGAATCTTACAGCATTAGAAATTAAAATTCTTAGAATCTTCAATTGTTCTGCTAGAAAAACAAAGAAAACTAAAAATCCGAGGTTGAGTCAGTCCGGTGAATTAGGAGGAAGGAGAGATGTTATGCCAGAGGAAAGGACACAGGAACACGCCCAGAGATTCAGAAAATATGATTCAGATGTGGAAAACAAGGAGCCCATTTAGCCAGAAGGCTTAAGGTGCTCTTGGAGCGATTACAAGGGCCTTTTATGCCATAATAAGAAGTTTTTTCTGCATTTGAAATGGAGAAAGATCCACTGAGTAGCTTTAAGCAGTACAATAACATAGTGAAAATTACACACGCAATGATCAGGCAGCATCTGGTGAATTAGAAATGGGAACAGGATCAGAAACAGGAGCTTTGGCTAGAAGGCCTTTGCAGTGATCCAAGTGGGTGAGAAGTGGGTGCTTATCTGCAGCAGAAACGGAGATAAGAGGACAGATGCAGAGATAATAAGAGGTAAAAGTGACCTGAGAACTGGCTAATGTGAAAAGGAGAAAAACATAACGAATGCTCAAGATTTTAAACACTGGGGCTGGGAGACTGTGGAGACTGAGAAGAAACCACGCTTGAGCAAAATGGGAGAAGAAGTCAGCAGTACTACAGGAGTGGGCTGAGCGTGCAGCTTGGTTTGCTCACGCCAGCA